TGACACTCACCAAGGCCATGGGTCTCGTTGCAAAATAAGACATAGAATTCCATTACGTAGCCAATTGCGACTCGATGAACAGGGCTAGTCTTGTTACTCTCTTTTGTTAGTGAAGTATGCTCAGACTGCACGGGAGGAGATGAATATGGTTCTTTCTCAGGTCGCGATAATAGCCTTGGGATTGATAAAATACAGTGGTAAAATAAACGAAATTGGAGAATGGATGGGAACTTAGAACGGTCGAGATCACCGAAGTAATTAGGCTTTAGAAAGGTCAATGAAGCAAGTAGACTGCAGGCCCAAAGTTGGACTCAGTTTTCTAAGAATGAGTTAGGTAGTCCTTACATACAAGTTCCTGATCAAGGCTTCTTTGAAATTTCATCTCTCTCTCTCTCTCTCTCTCTCTCTCTCTCTCTCTTGTCCAGCAGAAATTTATCGTCCACGTGTTGTTCGTTATGAAACGAGCCTACCGAATGGAAAAAGGGAACGCTTTCAGAGCTGAGCGCGTCCTCCTCGAGGAGGATCCGCCGGGAATCCCCTCTCTCCTTCTCTGTCTGGCGCGAAAGTCATACCGAAACCCGTGACCCGGAGTTTCATCTGTCTTTCCGCTTTTCTCGTTCTCCACAGACGGACACCGTGGTCTCTTGCTAATCTTCGCTGGCTAGGATACCAGACGCGAACATTATCGAGGCAGGTCCTAGTTTCTTCTAGGAATTTTAGGAATTGGTATTGTAGATGAAAATGAAGACACTGAGGTGGAATGAGATCCATAGGAATTTTTAATGTCCGTATATTAGATGTGTGCGGGATTCCTAAAAATTCCTGAAAATTCCCTAGAATATCTAGGACGTTTCGCAATTCAAATCCAAATTTCCATTCTAACGCGAATATCAGACCAGATCGGGAATTTTGTTTGTAATTGTGACGGAATTTAAAAAATATCCGCGATTTCTGAAAATATTCTCGATATTTCTAAATATTTTGTGGAATTTTTGTAAATCCTGTAAATTTTAGGAATTTTCAGGAATCTCATCGGATCGAGACGAGATCCTGAAAATTTCAGGAAATCTTCGGACCTCCTAGATACTCTGTGTATCTCAAGGACCACTATCGTCACGTTAAAAAAAAGCAATACTCACCTCGTCAAAGTAGTCCGAAAAATTTCTGAAAGCGACTTCGCGAACAATGCCTCGGGAAAAAGCGGGGATCCACTTTGTACCCTGTGTCATCATGAGCGAACAGTCTTCATTGTCCGAAGGTCTCACCAAACGAACAACTTCCGCCTCGCGCCTCATTTTCCACTTCTTTTCGGTTCGTCCGTTCTCGTCTGGTCCTAGGTTGGCGCCAAAACAGGCGTAGCTCGCGAGATTCGCGAGGCCGTATTGAAAGGTTCTCTCAGGGTGCTCAAAGGGCGGAATAGGGACTGGCAACGGAGAGAAAGAAGAGTAAAGAGGAGAAGAAGGGGAATGGCGAACGACTGCAGAGCAGCTAGGGCGATCTCTTTCAGCCTGGGTCTGCTCTATAAGCTTCTTTCAAGCTGGCGAAGCCCAGGCTATCAAGACGGTCTTAAACAGCTCTGAAATTCATGACTCCAGAGTGGCTAGCAGCGAACACTGCCTGCTAATCCTTCGCGTTCGCGTACGACCGAGAGGATGATTTATTTCAAAGATTGAATTATCCGGGCTTGTTAGCGCGATTTAACGATCCAGGGAATTGATCTCTCCTGGGATAAGATCGACAGTACCTTTGCTTATTCAGATGAGATTACTTATTATAACCAGACAGCATAGTTGAATGAAAAATATTTTATTTATTAAACCTTCCCTTTGGGATACCATCCTCGCTAAGATGAATTTCTTTGCTCATCTAGATAGAGTTGGGGTTAGGATCGACAGTGCCTTTGGTTATTTGGATGAAATTACGTATTATAACCAAATACTATAATTAAAATATAAAAATTTCATTCCATGGAAATTGATTTTGAGATACTATTCTAATTAAGATGAAAGATCTCTTTGTTCATTTATTACAGGTGAAGTTAGGGTTAAGAAGACTGGTTCTCTGCTGTTTATGTCATTAACAGATCACTGCTACGAATGTCCCGACGAATAATTATCATGGAGAATTTATTTCTGGAATTATTGTCACATGTTGGCTCTGAGAGGGTGGACTGTGTAGACACAGTCTGGGTTTCGTCACGGTTAAGACAAAGGGGCACAGAGATTCCCATGGCCTTTCGAAGCGACGATTGACACTCACCAAGGCCATGGGTCTCGTTGCAAAATAAGACATAGAATTCCATTACGTAGCCAATTGCGACTCGATGAACAGGGCTAGTCTTGTTACTCTCTTTTGTTAGTGAAGTATGCTCAGACTGCACGGGAGGAGATGAATATGGTTCTTTCTCAGGTCGCGATAATAGCCTTGGGATTGATAAAATACAGTGGTAAAATAAACGAAATTGGAGAATGGATGGGAACTTAGAACGGTCGAGATCACCGAAGTAATTAGGCTTTAGAAAGGTCAATGAAGCAATTAGACTGCAGGCCCAAAGTTGGACTCAGTTCTCTAAGAATGAGTTAGGTAGTCCTTACATACAATGATGGGAACTTAGAACGGTCGAGATCACCGAAGTAATTAGGCTTTAGAAAGGTCAATGAAGCAAGTAGACTGCAGGCCCAAAGTTGGACTCAGTTTTCTAAGAATGAGTTAGGTAGTCCTTACATACAAGTTCCTGATCAAGGCTTCTTTGAAATTTCATCTTGCCTTTTCATCTTGAGATAATCGATGTTGTAAGATCACTATGTTGTAAGATCACTACTCGAATCATGCAATTTCTGGACTCTCTTTGAAACGTGTGAAAAGACGTAACATTTTTTTAATAAAACCTCGTATCCTTTCCTTTCTTCTTGGTATTTTTGAGAACACAAAGGAGCCTTATTCTGGACGTGAGAGGGTTATGAGAAGTCGTCTGACCAATGCTGTCTACCAATCTTGTGTGCTTTTTATGTCCAATCCTATCCTTTCCTGTCCAAATTTTGTTCTTCATAAAATTTGGCATATCCATAGTTGAGTAGATTATTCATCGTATTTCATATTTTTATTTATTTGCATTTACAAAAATAGGACGACAGATGTCTGCTGAAATTTTTAATAGATTAATTTTACGAATTTTCCAAAATTTATAAATTAGGCTTGTCTTGTGATAAAAAATATGGATATAGATTTAAATTAATATAGTTCAGGTTTTAACCAGATAACATTACTATACGAACCAAATTCATGAAGACAGTGTAGCTGCCAGTGTTCACATAATGGTCATGTTCAAGAATAATTTTATAAAACGTATAAACAATTGTATTTACCTAAAAATTTTGTTATTTAGAGAATAATTTAGTATGTTTATAATAAAACAAAAATCGTATCGATCCATCGAGTAGTTTTTCTGAAATAATTTCGTGAAATAGGTCCTTAAGTATACTTAAGTTAGGCTCAAAGACATGTCTCCTTTCAACGATTGTTGAAATGATACTAAATCACGTTGTCATTTCAACACCACGGTAACTGCACAGGTTTCTAAACTACCTGATCAAATTGATTTGCAATTACTAACGTTTAAGCTCGTGACTAAATATTTTTCTTGTTGAGATGTGTTCCAGTTAACAGGTTAAGTAAGAGGCGTGTCAGATGTGAAATTTTGGAGCAATTTGATGTAATAGAGTTGTGCACTGATATGGAAAAAGAACTGAGGAAATAGAAAGTAAATAAATAGAAATCAAAATAAAAAATTGTAATTTGAGAAAGTGTTCAACTAGATAAATGTACTTAAATATATTTGATGAATTAGACTAATTGTGTTGAATATTCTAACTTTAAAAAGATATCTTCGTAGGATTAAAAAATTATTTAAATTGGCAATAGACAAAGGTAAATATTTGCGTTATGGAGAACACGTGACGTGGAACAGAGAATTATAATTGCACGTGGTATTATTTTCAGTAATGTATTCTGGGATTATCCGAGATGATCCTAGATTACCTATATTCTACAGAGACTACTAGTGAGTTATTAATTAAACATTAAGTACAAACAGAATCAAATAGAGTGACCTAATGAAAAGCTAAAACTGGAAACCTCAGACTCAAATAGAGATCTCAGAAAAAGACCCTGCTAAGGACTCTTTTCCACGTATTATGTTAAAAAGAAAAATAAATTTCGAAATTTTTTATCTCTTTGAAATTAAGCTTTTAGTTAACGTGGTGGTGTATTCGAAGCTCAGGAGAGGCGATATAATTTTCTTCGAGCTCGTTCGAAAAGAGAAAAGCGGAAGTAACGACTTTTAGTTAATATCCTGAAGTATATGAACAAACTTGCGAGTCACTGTAGTCGAAGTAATCCGATTCTGTGCCGTGGCTGTTTTTCAAAGGACCGAGTGCCACTTGCGCGGAGTACCTTGCTCTTTTTATTTGTAATGAATTACGGAGCAAGCTATTGTGAAGACGAAAGTGCACTTAACTTACGCTCATACGTACGCGCATTTATGAGAATTAGCGCAGCTCTGCTGTTACGCGTAAGACGATAGAATACAACTGGGATATTCGCCAAAGTTTCTGTCTCTTTTGCTATCGCTATTTTTCATTACACTCCTAATGCTTTTGAATAATATTCTTTTCATTTGCATAGAATTTTTCCCGGTTAAATTCGAACATAAATAGTTTTGCCATTGGACATGTTTCATAAAGAAATTAATTAATTATACAATATATTATAAATTAATTTATTCAATATATTTTGTAAGGAAATTAATCAAATATGTAATATATAGAAGACCAGAACGAGGAATTAAATAATTCATAAACCTGTAAAGGTAGAACAAGAAATTAAATAATTCATAAACCTTTAGACACATCACTAGGATTTCTTGATATTTCACGTTAAGACACGTTAAATATAATTTTAATTACATTAGTGACGAGGGTAAATCGTCTCTTGTGGTTCGGTATAAGTAAAAAAGATGTTACGAAAAATAAGGTTTAGCTTGGATAGCTTACCTAAATTAATTTAATAGATCATAATATTTTGACCAAGCTCTTCCGTTAGCCCGTTGTTCGCCAACTAACACGACCACCCCTATTCCAGCAGAGCCCTCGAATTCCCATTAAAGGACCATAAGGTTTACATTAGACACTTTTCTCGTGCCTTTGTGTTCCGCCACTTTGACCATAAGCAGTGTGACTCGTGAAAAGTGAAAATAAGCAGTGAATGGAGTAGTACTCGTTGCCAGTGCGTACACATACGCTCAAGGTCTCTATCAGTAACGGAAATTCTCGGTTACTTGAGCACGACTACGAAAGGACATTAAAAGAGTAACAGTTTCACCTACTTATTATGCTGCCATAGATAACGAGCCATACGTTCGACGAGAATACCTGGGCATTGAAGAATACTTCGATTACCGAGTTAATTCCGAGAACCATTAGACCCAGGAGTATGAACATTCGAGTCTAGTCAACTGGCGGTTACCACAAGGTAGAATACTCTGAAATAATAGTAGCATAAATTATATTTGCGCTACTTTATTTTATATTACGCCTATATTAATGTTCTATCGCTATATTTGACCTTCGTCGCACCATAGAGTATGCTGTTTGTAGACGTGACAGTTTCAGTCGGTAATAAAAATTCGGGCGGCTTATCTATACGATCGTATAAGAAAAGGTGGACTTACTAGATTATGGCCAATCAGAAACGTGTTCCTTTCGACTCATTAGACTTGCGTAGTATACATAAAGTGTGTATAGTGCGTAAAGTTGGATTAGAAAGTAAATCATAAACTCGGAATGTCGTAAACAAAAAATGGAAGCGGTAGGAACCTGCTATTTATTTATTTTTTGTTTAATCTTTTATTCAAGAGTGAACTCTTACGAGATCCTTTTACGTTGCGATTTCTTTCATTTCTAATTCAACTTGTTAACATTGCAATGTATTTATATCGGAACGGCGTGAGCTGGGTTGATATTATTGGTGGGAACTGTGGCCATGGTGGGGATCAACCTATCGGTGGCAGCGACAATGGCTCGAACGATAGATACCGACGAAGGTCCTTATGACTACTGCGTTGCGTTTACACAATAGTCGCATATTTGATTAAATCACCACTGACTGATGGTGAGTCAGTGAATAGCCATTTATAAATGTTAGCAATCTCCACGTGTATTTTAAATACAAAATGGGGATTTTTGAAGCAGATAGTGGTTCTAGTTCGTTATTCGTTTTTGTGTCATCGGCACACGTGGAACGAAACAGAACAAAACGAAACGAAGCTGCAACTGTTGGAACTGTTTTCGTAAACTTGGCCATGCGAGTACAATTGATTGTGTAACAGTAGTCCGTAGTTGTGCGCTGCTGTTACCGCACAGTGTACGCCGTAGCGTGGCCACTTTTACCGCGATACCGCGCTTCCGGTGCCCGCTTTCAACTTCGCAATATACCTGCCGTGAACCAAGTGATGAAGTGTGCACCGGCGTGGCAGCTTTTTTCCTTCCTTTTGGCAAGAACTTCTGCATCGCGCTATTTCTTGTCCGCTACTTGCCTTTCTTGTTCGTTATAACGCGAGCTGCAGGCTAGGAGGTAAAAGTAGCTGACGGATTTTTGGATCAAGTATCTTCAATGTTCTAGTATCTTTAAATCAAGCGTCTCTGACGTTCAAGTGTTCTTGGATTAGATTTCTGAAGGAGGTACCTTGAAAGTTCAAGTGTTTGGATGAGATGCTGGAATGCTTTTAGGATAGATATTCTGATATTTGGTGTAATTACTTGAGACGTACTTTTAGTTTATTTATATAAAATATGGGGATGTTATTTATTTAAAGATTACCTTTTAACATGTTGGTATACATAGGTAGTAATAACTGGAGTAGTATGGTGATGTTAGGTTGATTGACATCAGATGTACCTTGAAATTAGAATGTACCATTAGAATGCTCTTGAAATCCATACTTTTAGGCTTCTTATAGCACATTCTGATATAGTAGTAGGATAAGTTACATTGGCACAAATTTTGTCTTACGTTAAATAATTAACCCTGATTCTATCTCTACGCTATTATGATGAAGTAAATTCAAATTAAATATTTATACACTACAAAAATTCAGAATAATTACATTACATATAATTGAATAAAATAAAATATATAACCTGATATATCCTGATATTAGGGATCTAATATTAAAGGTAATATATTTTTAGGTTAGATATTCTCAATGAAGCGTCTTTAACATTCAGAGAGTAATATATTATGTTTTTAACGATCTTAGGAATGATCTGGACTTATTAACTTTTCCAAGCTTCTTTCAAAGACTTCAAGTAACACAGACTGCGTCTTGAATTTATATTTTAAAAGTTCCAGGAACTTCATTTTCCTTCGTCTTTTAGATGTAAATCGTTAATTCGTTGTATTCCCGGCGGGACATTTTTCAACGTTTGGCTGAGAGTGTCCCCTTTATATCCTCGATGCGTCAAATGTTGCAGCTGCAAGATACAGGTAACGTCGTAACAATTGCGAAACACTTTGTTACTCGTGTTCGAGGTCCTGTTAAGAAATCCAGGTACAAATTATCTTCGTAAACGCCCTCGACAAATGACCCATAGAGCCATTCAGTTAAGCGTAACTGCGGCCAATTTACGAGCTATGCAGATTCCCTCTCGGAAACTTTCCATAACTGGAAGTTTTTATCTTATCCTGTGTTATGCTAACAATACTATTTTATTTAACATTTTCTCGTAACTATATATATATATTTGTATAAAAAAATAATTCTTCGTAAATCGAAAGAATGAGATAGAAATCGATATAACCAATTCACGTATATCGATATAACCATTTCGAGTGTATCGATATAACCATGTTCACGTATATTGATATAACCATTTCGAGTGTTTCGATGTAACCATATTCATACATATATCGATATACTCATCACGTGATACAAATGTCCATCAAAATTTCGTTTCCTGCTCACCTGAATACCTGTTTCTTTACTTTGAAGCCATAAGATGAAATTCGTCGAAACGAGGTTAAACGAGGGGTACGCGATTAAGGTCTTCCCGGAACCCTTAATGAACACCTTTCCTTTTCTTAGTCATACAGGTGGGATGGGTATTTCCTGTCCCGTCGAGTGAAGGAATCGTCTCGCGAAAGCGTACTCGCGAAGGAACTCTCGTGGTATGGTCGCCTCGGCGTTCTTGACCGAGCAATTTGTAGAATACGCGCTCGTGTGTATAACGTGGCCCCATCGACGAGTCCGAGAAACGAACGACGGCTAGAAAAAGGGAAGGGGTACGGTGGGGAGAGGAAAGAGATCGAAACGAAGCTGCGAGCCAAGTTCGCGAAGGTAAAACGTGGAAAGAGAGGTCGAAGAAGCCAGGAAAGAAGAAGAATAAAAGGAGAGCCAGCCAGGATGGCTGTGGAAGGATCGTGGAGAGGGGATAGGAAAGGGACTGGCTGAGAAACTGCTATCACGACGGTCTGGAGTCTCTGTACGCGGAGACATAACCTAACCTAACCTAGCCTAGCGTCTTGTCGCTCTGGAATCTCCCCTATGTGTCTGCTGCGTACCTCCGCGTAAATACTTCTTTTAGTGTAAATAATTCCACGAAGATGTTGAAACGTTTCTACGTCGCAGTTTAGAAACGATATAGGAAAGGTTCATAATGATGCTACAAGGCGTTTGGTTTTCTTTAGTAGATGTACTTTTTTCACGGCTACGATGGTGTATATACGTTATATAGTTGTGTAACTTCGTTAAATACATCGTGGCATCCTTCGTGCATTTGTCGCTAGAGGGATCCACGCCAATAGAATTCTCACAAGTCCTTGTTTAGCAATCGTATCTCGATCGTAGAAATTTGCTCTCTAACCTGACTTTTATTGTCTCGGAGTACATAATTTGAGTCTTATTGAAAGTTTTATTGATGAGTGCACTAACGAGTTTCAAACGAAGACGCATCTTCCTTCTATTCTTCATTGACAAGTATGTATATTTTTTTTTATATACCATCTGTTCCTATTTAATTAAAAATAGTGGAATAAAATCAAAATAAGAAAGAATATAAGAAACGCATTTGCTATCAAACGCGATCTTTCTTAATTCTTTTTCTATACATATTTCTACGTCTCACATTTATATAAAAAGATAATCTTTATAAATATCTATATAAAAGTAATTGCAATTAAAATTAATGGCGTTGTCTGGAAAAACACTTTATAACCTCTTAGCGGCCATGACGGCTGGGAATCCGTAGTATGTATAAACTGCATTTTTAGTTTTTTTCTTCCGAGATCTCGATTTACCTGATTTGTCTGGGTCCCGGTTAAGCCGGTTAATCGAGACTCAGCGTAACGAACATAAATGATGAGGCAACCTGAACTCGTAATGATATTTTCTTATATTATTTCCGGAAATATTCAGTCGTTCTCTTGCTCTGTACAAGTGCATGGGGCCACGTTGATTGTTTTCGTTCAAACGCGTTTACGGGTTCATCGGCTATGATAACCTGTACACACCGACCAAGTATATGGGTTCATCGTCCGCGGAGGGTTAAAACATAGTCACTTGTTTAATTTGATAGCTACAGGAACGTAGAGTGGCTCATGAACGTCTAAAGGTTGTTCGTACCGTACAAAGTACGGCCCTGGCCTGGCCGAACTTAATTTAACGAGTCGGTCACACGGAAACTCGTCCAGTGTCCTGGTGCCCGTGAGGACACTCTAGACGAGCCACGAAGTACGCAGTGAGCCGTGTGCCAAATTGGACTCGGTTGCCATTCTCGTACCATACGAACCTGCCGTTCTTCTTCCATTAACCGTACAGAGTGAAATTAATCTAATGAATAAGGGAAGCTACCACTGACCGCGTCTGGTGTTGCATAAACAACGAAAAGGTCATTAAAAAGAGGAAGAAAGGAATACATAATTTTACAATGGTACTTGGATCATGGAAATTGTTACCCAACTCCAGTTGGACAGTTGCCTCTGGTGTATAAAGAGAACGTTCCATATTTGAAAATTATTACATTTGGATGTCGAGACTGCTCTTCGATCGATTGTACATCGCGTGGTTTGGCGTTATGTTACAAAGTTGGATCATGATGGGAAAAAGTTCGTTGGATTTATGGGAACCAGAGGGAATCCCAGAACACGAATTCAGAACATCGATTACAAGACTCGGCAGTTAACGTGACCTCTTTAGTGCGGGTGAAAGTTAGTAAAAAATTTTATCAGTAAAATTAGAAAATAATTCAATGATATGCATAGTATTTACAATATATTTATTACAAACGTTTGGGAATTAATTAAAAAATAAGAAGTTTCAATATAATGTTGATTCATCTTTTGTTTCGTATGATAGCCCTGAGACGGTTTTCCACTTAACTCACTAGCGCCACCACGGCTCATATCTACAATGAATGTATCGCAAGTATCGTATTTCTAGACATATCTACTGAAATTATTTCGTGTATGCCTACACATACCTTTACTAAAAATGTTTCTGAATTCACCTGTGGGTAGACGAAATGAAATAAAGTGTATGGTGATATGTCAAGTTAATCGTACGTAAAGAAATTGTGGCGATAATGAGTCTTAAAGGACGTTCAATTGAATTTTAACAAATAAAATAGTGGGACATGGAAAGAGTTTACAGTCACGGCATTTTCAATTTCGTTCGAGCAATTTTTGCCTTTCACAGTGGCGTTTACTCGAACCTCTGTCACCGTGACGTGGTAAGACAGGATCTGCTCAAGGCTACGAAATGGGATAGCTCGATTCAAAGTGTAATCTCCCGCCACTTAACTTTACGTGCGTCCTTCGTCAGAAATTCCCATGGCGTGGCACCAACGGGAATAAATAATTGGTGGACAGTAAT